TGGTTATAATGTGTAGTATTCATGGCCATCATAATGTTTTTTTATTGAACTTTTGTTGGTTTCAAAATTACCAACTCTGCACACTTGCTTGTAGAGGATAGGGTCATAGTTTGCACAATTTGTGCTTATTTAACAATTCTTCCCATTGCAAATCTTGTTGATGCTACCCTCGTATGTAGCGGATTGGGTCTGTCTAAGAATATAACTTATAGTCTATCATATGGGTGAGGTGGCCCCAAAACTTTACATTCTTTTTTTTTTTGAAATGAACACTGTTTAAAAGACTTGAAGGTCTTATGCAAACATGAATCAAAATATTTCTACTAGGTTCTCGGCTAAGTATTCATTTATGAATTTATGTAATTTCATTGAGAGTAGGAGTTGAGATCATTCAATAATTGTGGCTTATTTGAAATTTATTTCTTAAATATATTTCTCAAGATTTCGGTCTTATCAGCTCGAATTTTCAGAATGTGAAGGATTTGACTTGAAATGTGAGATTTATGATTCTGCCAAATAGGTTGGTACATGATTGAGACCATGCGAGCTTGATGCATTTGAGTAGCTTTTAAAAATTGTTTTAAGTTTTCTACATAATTTCAAAGCATTCAAAATATTTTCATGCTTCTTGGAGCGGGGGTAATATTCATTTCATTTTTAGTTTGTGCAACATTTTGATTTTTAGATTTGGATATTGGCACATTTATGAGAGGACATGCAAATATTCAATTTGACAATTTGATATTTTTTTAGAGGACGTGTATGCCTTTCAGCGCGCTTATAGAATTTGCTAGACGTTGTATTTGAGCTAAAAATAACTTATGACATTTGTAAGAGACTTGAAAAATTTCTAATAAATACTTGTCTTTAAAATGCATGCTAAATTTTCATGTTGAGGCTTATAAATTGCATTTTGTTTGCTTGTAGGTGCATTTTGTAGATTTGGTTGGGAATGTTTTGAGTTAGATTTTTGTTATGCATTTGATGATGTCTTAGTTTTTGTCCTTACATCATTGTATTATAATGTGCTGTGCTTTAAAGGCCATCATTTCTCCTTTTATAAATTTGAGGGGTCATTAGATCACATCACCATTCAAACTCATTTAGTCCATGCTTTTTAGAATTATGAGTGTTTAGTTGGATTAAGAAAATTTTGCAATTCCTCATTGGTGAGTTCTCCGAGTTCTTAGTGAGTTTTGTTTAAGTTTGATTTTATGTTTAATAGTCTCTTTTTCTTGCATTTTATTTTTCCATTGAGTTGCTTTATATTCAAAAATATTATTTCAATTTGTTTTTTTATGAGTTTTGTTCATTAATCATTTCAATAGGCTCTTGGCCCCCCTTCCTCTTGGGGGTTTTTATGGGGCTAGGCCTTCCAACCACCACGCTTGTTAAAAGCAAGCATTGTCTAGGACTGTCGTGGTTGGAGTCTTCAAACCCACCATAATAAAACAAGCGTGCACGAACTTTCAACATTTGCATGAAAATATACACATGGATTTTTCCGTTGTATTGAAATTAATACGTGCTAATACTTTTTTTTTTGCATTTTCTCTATCACGTTGGAACAATGAGAGCATGAGTACTTATTTTTGTCTCATAAATTTTTATATATTTAGTTTTCATTAGTAATGCTAACACTAAATCATTTATAAAAGCTTCATATTTTGTTTCATTATTTGTACATGTATATGATAAACTGTAAGAATATCGTAATATAATTTTATCTTGTGTGACAAAAATCAAACCAATTCTTGTTTTATTTAAGAGAATACATTGTGGTTCAATCTCTACTTAAAAATAAGATGTACTATTAAAATATAACTAATTTGCTTTTTGGGCAAATCGTTATTCAAAGGGGACTCTATAGGTACAACATGTATTGTTAAGAAATCAACTAGAGCTTGTCCTTTCATAGCACACTCGGTAGGGGTGACAATATTTGACTCGACCAGAACCCGACTCGAAACAAACCTGAAATTCTAGGTTTTTTGTCAACATGAAAACCCAAAATCAACCTGACTGACCTGGATCCATGCTTGCGGTTGCACCTTAGCTCACACCGGACGCACTTGAGCTTGCCCATTGCGAGCCTCACCCCCTAGCCCTCGGGCACATGCCCCCTGCCCTCGTGGCTATCACGGCCCCTACGCTCGTCTGCTCGCACCTTGTGGTCTCACTGTTAACGGGTGGGGTTGGGTTGGGTCGGGTCGGGTCAACCCGGGTTAGATCCGAGTCAGGTTCGCATCCATGTAAAGGATTGAAGCATTATCATGGTCCATCTAACTAAATGTCATGAAAAAGTTGTATGGTTCATGAGACATAGCAAAGGATTTACCTTAAAGATTAAATTTAGATTATAAAGAAGCATATAATGCCTAAGTTTTTGGACAAAAAAATTAGGCATAAACAGTAATTCCCAATTAGCGAGTACATTTTTGCAAGATTTAGACGTCTATTTAAATATTATAGAAGCTATTCTCTTTTCACCCGTTAGTTTGGGCTAACAGAGCTCCGTGAGACTTGTTTAATACTGCAGTGTTGAGAATTAATTGTCTTTTTTGGAGTAAGAGCTATTAAAATTGGTAGGGACACAAGATAGTTTTTGATGCTATTGAAATTTATTTTACAGCTATCATCCCAATAGAATTCAAAATTTTTCTTTGAAAGAGCTGGAATGATTTAACATCTCCTGGAAAAATTGGATATAAATCTTCTGAAGAAATATTATATATAGTGACCAACTTGAGAGTTATTGTACTTAAAATCTCCCCTATGATAGGAAACACTTTCTTTATATATGATAGCTTGTATGTATTTATTTTCTTGAAACTCTCTTATAATTTAAGAAATAATTTCCAAATTATCATAAAAGTCCCCGTATGCCATGGATCTTTTTATTTTTTATTTTTATTTTTTTAATTTTAGAGTCTCCCTATAAGATAGGGAGTTAAAAAAAAAAACAATGTGAAATTCCCCTTGTAAGACATGATTTTTTTAATATTTATTTGGATCGACTAGCTTCAATCAACCAAGCTTGAAAAACACAATTTCCTATAGGTCAAGTCTAGGATCTGAGCGTGTTTAAAGGCTAAGACTGAACACACAAAAATGACCGAGTCGCTAACAATTTTTTTTTTTACTTAATTAATTATAAGAATGGCAACAGTGAGAGAGCTTTGGTTTCCTCAGTCCAATGATAAATTCTGTTAGGTTCCAAGTTTATCTACTTAATGAGTTTGAGCGACCCAGATCTAAAAGTCTTTCTCAATCGGTCGATGGGTCAATATAAAGTCAAAGAGATTATCTTCACTTAAGAAATTATCCATGCAAGGAGAATTCCCAATTATGCAAGTTTCAAGTCCTTGAAAGCCAAATAATAGGATTTTCTAGGTCTATTACTTTTGACCAATCAGGATGGAAAAACATAAGTTTCGCCATAGCTCAAGTCTAGGACTCCAGTGGATCCAAAAGGTCGGAGTTAACATGCTCATATATAGCCAAGTTGTTGAAATGTCATCTTACTAAAGAAATCATAAGAATGACCACACTAAGAGAGCATCTGCTTTGTTAGTTTAATGATAAGAGCTGACAAGTTCTAAGTCTATGCGACTTGATATGTTTAAGTAATCCAAATTAATAAGATGTTCTCAATTGGTCAAAATGTCAATGCAAAACTGAAAGAATAATCCCCTAAAAAAGGTACCGAGTTGAGTTTGATATTATCATCAAATTTAAAAATCTATTTCCTTCAACAAGTTAGCAAAGCAAAAAGTATAGGATAACCACAGATTCAAGTTTTAAAATTGCTAATATGAGACTGTTATACATCAATAATATATCTTTAGCCAAATAAAGTACAAACTAAATAGTCTATACATATGTAATAAGCACTAGTTTATTTTTTATATTCTATTTAAGTTTGTGTCAGCTAGACTAGTTCTATATTGTAAATTTGGTCTACACTAGTATAATAAATAGCCTCTTATTATAAGAAAATATTATGGAATGAAAGATTTCATGTTTCTCCATCTCTATTCTCTCTTCTTCCCATTCTTCTTACTTGAGGATTGTTCACACTTACGCAAAAGGTTCCTTCCCCTTCGTGATGTAGATCAAGAAGCATAAAAAATGATGCTCTTGTTGCACTAACATCAAGGCTCCACAAGATTCTTCTTCACCGTGATCCGTTGCTTCATCCAGATGGTACATCCATCCAGATTTGCTTCATCCAGCCGTCTAAACTAGCTGCAAGATGCTACCAGCCCACAAATCAGATCAGCTCTTGTTCATCCCAGCTTCGCCAGCCTATTTCTAACATCTTCTTGGGCTGTTTGAAGTCTTCCACAACATTCCTCCCCACCAGCTCGCTATCGCTACTCTTCCCTTCAAACTCCAATTGATACCAGCCGGCTACCGACCTAGTTATTTAGCTTCTTATCGCTGAATAGTCACCTTATGTTCTTTTCACTGCCGCCAGTCATTTAATTACAGTCATTCAACTGCAAACTTACTTCCAAACGTTAGCTGCATTCAAGATTTACATCTGGTTAAGGTTCATGTTATCAAGAACCACTTCTTGTCTATTTCCCACAACCCTACACAATAACTCATCATGGAAAATGCCAATTTATCAGAAGTTCTCCGTAGCATATAACGCTCGGTTCATTTGCAGCCCATCTAAGATGTTAAATTGATATTTTATGCCTTTCTTGATTCCATTTGATGTATTCATATGTATCTCTTTATATTCAACACCTAATATTCTTAATAATCACAGCAACCTAGAACAATTTACTTGTATATGTGAACAATTGATTGTTGATCTGATTGGTTGCCACAAACAAGGATAGCCATGTTAGTAAAAGATGAAGCCTTTATTTATAATAACATAACTATCTTGGTATGCTTATTTTACTAAAGATAGCCTTCTGAGGTATCAAAGCTATCATAGTTTTGTTGTGTGCTTGCTTGAGTCGCTCAATCTTTATTTCTCTCAGGATACTTTCGTGCTTCAAATTGAATCCTTTTGAGCACCTCAACTTACCCTTAGACTCATCAATTGATGAAGTGAAAAAGCAGTATCGAAAGGTAAGCCTGCAGAGTAAAATCAGATGTCCTTTTTCTAATATATATTAGTCAGCTTTTTATTAAACAATTGAAAATGAAATAAAGTGGCTCTCTAATATTAAAATAATATTCTACTTGCAGATATCTTTGCTTGTTCACCCTGATAAATGCAAGCATCCTCAAGCAAAGGAGGCATTTGCAGGTATTCTGATACTTTTTTGCAGCATTGAGTTGAAGATGGATTTGATGATTTATCTTTACTACGGCTTTTTTGGCAGTTGTTGTTGAAGTCAAGCATACTGGTTTAGAAAATACTAAGTTAAATGCATTGGTGAACATGTTGATATTCTTTGAGCTAAAATGAGAACTCTCTAGCAACATCAACGACACTTTGACACATCTAAGGAAGCTTTTTTTTATAATTAGGTGATTATGGGGGTGCATTCTTGTAGGAATTATGATTTCTAATGTCCTAGTAGCTGACCAGAGGAAACGTCAACTTCTAAGTTTTCATATGTTCTCTAATAATGTTAAATATGTTTTCCTAGAAATAAAAATGGATGTCTAAAAGCCTAATGAATCGAGAAGCATGAGGCTTCATTTGGTGGAGTATTTTTTGTATTTTATTTAAATAAATTTGATTTTGAAAAGAATGAGAGAATGGGTTGAGTCTTTCATTCTAATTTTTGTGTAATATTTATGCAATATGTTGAAGACCTTAGGGTCCTATAGTTTGGAACTCACTCTTCTGTCTCCTTGCATCTGCTTTAGGTAGAAGAGCCATGGGTCCCACTATATAACGAATCAGAATATGATTTTTTGGGCTCATACCCTTGCATTGAAATTCCAAGTAGTTTTTCATATTTTTAATTTGATGCATGACAGAGCAAGGTTAAGCTTACTCCAACCTTTGTCTCTTTTTTCTTAAGATTCTCCATTCTGTTATTATGTTTGATTTCTTTGTCTTCTCTTACAAGGACCCAACCTTTATGAATAGTGAAAAAAAGGGAGAAATATAGGGTCTACAAGCCTCATGTTGTTTGAATGGAAGAAACTATTTGCCTTAAAAAAAAAATCCATCATCTTATGGATCTTTCTCTAGAGTCGAAACACCTAAAGTTTATACGTTGGCATGAATCTAATTCTATGATCATGATGTGATTATGAAATACCATGATGTTTGCAATCAGTGGCGCTCCTATCTACCACAAAAATCATTTGGGATGTTGTCAAGAAAATATACTTAAAAGTAAATGATGCCACACTTTTCTACAAGATCAAAACTAAGATCTCAATAACCAATCAAGGTAACATTCTTGTTTTTGAATACTTTAATGTAATGAAGGTTTACTGGCTTGAACTAAATTATTATCAAAATATTAAGATGGCGTGTTGCCATGATGCATTAATTCCTAGTATTTGTTGAAATCTTAGATAGAGAAAACCTACTATCCCTAAATGAAGTATTCTCTCTTATATTGGTTGAAGAAGGAAGAAGGACTACATTCAAATATCCAAACCATTTGCTATGATTACCACCGAACTCCAAGATAAGGGACTTGTTTCCATATACTCTTCCCCTAAAGAAGAACCAAAGATTTATTTCAAATGCAATATACTTTGTAAGCATTGCAAGAAGAAATTACGCATCAAAGAAAAGCGTTAAAAATTCCGCGGAAGCCTTAAAGCTATGGTGTAAACAAAGGACACCAAAAAGGGAAAATCTATCTGGCTTCAACTATTAAGAAATTGACAAACTAAGAGAATTTCTCAACTCCTTTAGAAATAATTTGGGTCACACTCTCTAACCCAAAATTATATGACTTATAACTTTTGTATTTTTAGTGCCTTAGATAATTCTCCTTAAAATTGGATATTAGATTCAAGAGTTACTGACTATAGGTCAGACGATTTGCAAGTTAGAGAAAATGATGAACTGTATCTTCTTGAAGTCTAAAATTGATTATCGTGTTCAAAACTTTTGATAATATGATTATAGGCTAGGGCATCCTTTATTCAAAACTTTACAATGCATGGTTCATTCCCTTTATCTGAATACAAATATGGAAAGTTTTCATTGTGAGACTTATGAAATAATAAAATATTATCATTTTATTTTTTGTGATTGTGAATCTAGATCCTTTTATTCCTTTTATGTTAGTTCATTATGATATTTGAGAACTCTCCAAAATTCGCAACATATTTGGAGCTACTGAATTTGTCCCTTTTATTAATGATTGCACTCAAATGATGTGTTTATATCTCTTCAAATAAAATTTTGATATGGGCATTATCCTTCCCATTTTCATTGCCATGATAAAAAATTAATTCAATAATGACATAAAAATATTTTGGACATATAATAATCTTGATTACTTCAATCATACATTATCTTCTTTTATTCATAAAATGGGTATCATTTACCGATTCTCCTATTCTAATACTTTTCAATAAAATGGGTTGGCTTCAAGGAGCCATCTTCTAGAAGTTATCGGGATTCAGATATCTTCTTTAGAATTAATTATAGAAGATACTAGGGAGATGTTGTTCCAACTTCTACTTACCTAATCAATACAATACTTTCAATAGTGATTAAATTTAAAAAATTCATTAACTATTTTACATAAAGGTTTTCGTTTGAGTAGATCTAAAACCGAATACATGTAGTATAATTTTAGTAGTAATAGATCTAGTGAGGGGTTTGTAACTTTGAGCGATCAAGTCATTAATAAGTGTACTCATTTTAAATATCTTGGATATATTGTTCAGAGTGATGGTGAAATACAGGGATATTATTAGTATAAGTCAAATTGGATGGTTTAAGTGGAGGAATGCTTCGGGTTTGTTGTGTGATAGAAAAACACCACTCAAACTTTAAGGGAAAAAATTATAAGATGGTGGTGAGACCTGCAATGCTTTATGGCATATCATATTGGGCCTATTGGCCATTAAAAAAGAAGCATAATGTTAAGTTAAGCGTTGCTGAGATGAGGATGCTTAGGTGGATGAGTGGATTTACTCTTAGAGACAGGATACGAAATGAGCATATCCGTGAAAAGGTTGGATTTGCTCCAGTGACAGATAATATTAGAGAGAGTTGCCTTACATGGTTTGGTCATGTAAAACTACGGCCTTCCAATGACTTTGTTAGGAGAGTAGATGATGTAGGACTATGTATGATTTAAATTATTATAAAAATAATTTGCACACTGTTAAGTAAGAGCAATAAGAATTATAGCGTTAGCCACTTAACGATAGTAAAAAACAAAGAGGGGTGCTTTCGCTTAGGCCAAATCACACGCTAATAGTTAAGATCACCAAAACAATTAGAACTTCAACGTGAGCAAATTTAGGGGATTTTCAATAACATCCATAGATTAACAATGAGAGTAGATGCATAGAAAGTCATAACTCATTCCCTACGTTTACTAAGATTTGACATATATCTTTGCACGATTCCTTATGCTTGATTCACCACCTACAATAAAAGAAGATCAGGAAAAAATTGAAGAGGGGGAAAAGTTCACCCTCATCGAGGCACGACGGTGATTTGCCAAGCCTTGCTCTTTGTAGACGAAGCCAGAGTCAAGTTCAGGATCAGCCATGCATCGATTTCGTAGTGTTGAAGTGTTGTAGAAGATGTCCCTTTACCGCCCTTGTAGATTTCCCTTGATAGAAAGCAATTTCTTTCAAGAATCCAAGTAGGGGAAGGGGTGCAAGGGTGCCCGGCCAAGGTAGGGGACCTGGGGAGATTGTGGTTCAGATTTTAGAGGTAATATGGTAGGGAAAAGCCGGCTAGGTTAGAGGAGGAGGTGGAGGAAAAGGGGTTTTGATTTTAAGGAGGGAAGATGGGGAGAAAATTGGGAAATTGTTTCCCTAATTAACCCTTTAAGTTTGGAAAGGTTTTAAAGGGAAATTGGAGAGAGGGAGGTGGCGGGTAAGAGCGAGGGAGAGGTTTGAAATCTTTCCCAAGTAAGAGGCTTAACTTTGGAAAGCATTTATGGTGTGGGGACATAGGGGGCCGGTGGCAGAGAGAGAGAGAGGGAGGAGCATGGAGAAAGAAATCAAGCCTTCTTGATTGAGAATATTAAATTAGGAATGAGGGATCTCATTCCAATTTAATAAAATTTTCAAGCAGGATTGATTTTGGAAACTTTCCTAAAATAGAACTTCGTATTTTAGGTAATAAATTTAAATTCAAATAGATTTGAATCATGAATTAATTGTGTTTCCTAAAATATAAAGACCCAATTAGGAAGGGGTTTAATTGCAAGCATTGATGGGGGAAATCCCAAGGGGGGCCGGCGGCTGGGGCTGGATGGGTCGCAGGTTTTGGGTGTGTGGTGATGTGGTCGGTTAGAAGATGAGGAGGTTGGGGTGTTAGCCGAAGGGGAAGGGGTGGGGGCCTAGGGTTGGCCGGTGGTGGGGAGCTTTGGGGGTGGCCGGTGGTTTTGGAAGGGGGTGGTTGGGCCGTGTGGTGGAAGGGAAGGGAGGGAGAAGAAGAGAGAATAGGGAAGAAAATAGCTACGAACCCGGACGCTTCCAAGGTTGGTGGGTGATCTGATTCTCTCTCCAAGGGATTTCTCTCCAAAGACTCTCAAGCTCTCACAAGAACTCAATGTGCATGAATATGATTATAATTCATTCATTAACTTCAAAAGAAACATAAGGGGGCTATATATAGCCTCATACAATGAAAGGGAAAATAAAAGACGACATAACCCCTAGGGCTTACATATGACAAAACGCTTAAGGGTACAATGGGAAATATTACTAAAACAAACACATAAAGTAAATAAATAAAACAAATACATATGAAGACTCAGAAATAGATCGGCGCGATCGTGGCCGTAGATTGTCGGCCACATCTCTGATATACTTTCCATGATCTGATGTCCCCATCAGTAGATGTATTAGATTTGGCCTATGGTAAAAAAAGTAGAGATAGACTCAAAAATACTTTGTTAGAAAATATTAGAAACGACCTTTTTTTATCAGATTTAAATGAGAATTTGGCTCTTAACATGATACAATGGAGAAAAAAGATTCATGTAGCCAACCCCACATAGTGGGATAAAGGCTTGATGATGATGATGTTGTTGTTAGCTATATGACATAATTTTTTATTGACAAATAATTTCCTCTAAAAAATTTCTCAAAAAATTTTTAGGTGCATTGCCTATATTCATATCCACAAATACC